CCCCAGCCCCCTGTGCCCCCCAGCCCCTGGTCCCCCCTCCTCGCTCCCACGCAGGGCCGGGCTCTGGATGCGCCGTGGGTGATTCATCCTGCTCCAGCCCCCCCCCGCTGCCAAAAATAGCGCTGCGGGAGGGGGGGGACCCTCCACATCACCCCCCGCCCCCCCGCCTCACCGGCGGCAGGCCGGGATGGCGGCCACGGGCCGCTGTCCCCCACAGCCCCATCGCCGGGGCCGCGGGAACCGCGACGAGGGACCCCGAGCTCCGGTAGCCACGGTAAAATGGGGACGGAGAGGGGCGGGATGGGGGGTCCCCGCTGCGGGGGGGGGACACGGGGCAGCCCCCAGGCCCGGGATCGGGGGTGAATCACGAGGGGACCGGGAGGATTCTTCCCCGGTTTTCAGGGTGGTCGGAGCGGGATGAGCGAGCGTCGCCATGGGAACCGGGCAGGCAGGGATGGGGTACGGGCAGGGATGGGGGTACGGGCAGGGATGGGGGTACGGGCAGGAATGGGGTACGGGCAGGAATGGGGGTACCGTCAGGGTGTACAGGCGCCGATGGCGCTGTGGGCAGGGGGAAGCAGGTGGGGCAAAAGGAGGAGAGCGAGGAGGATGAGGAGGGGGCGCAGGAAGGCTTTGAGGGATGCGCCAGCAGCGGGCGGGGTTCGGCCATGCGGGCAGTGCGGGAACCCCCCCCTCGCTGGGGAAACTGAGGCAGCGAGCGGGGACACCCCATCCTGGGGGACTTGGGGGGTCTCACCACACCCCATCCCCTCGCAGTGAGCGAGTGCCGCCCCCGTGCCCCCCGAGCCCGGCCATGCCCAGCGCCGCGGTGCCACCGGGGGCGCTCCCCATGATCCCGGCCGAGGGCTCGGCGCTGCTGCGCGCTGTCTCCCAGGGGAAATTCCGCCTGACCCGCCTGCTGCTGGAAGGGGGAGCCTACATCAACGAGGGCAACGCGGCGGGCACCACGCCGCTGATGGCAGCGTGCCGCGCCGGCTACGCCGAGCCGCCCGAGCAGCCGCGCATGGTGCAGTACCTGCTGGAGAACGGAGCCGACCCCAACATCCCCGACAAAACCGGCAAAACCGCGCTCATGCACGCCTGCGCCGAGCGCGCCGGCCCCGCCGTGGTCGCCACGCTGCTCGCCCACGGTGCCGACCCCAGCGCCCGCGATTACGGCGGGGGCTCGGCGCTGCTCTACGCGCTGGAGCGAGGGGACCGGGAGACGCTGCAGGCGCTGCTGGACGCGTGCCGGGAGCGCGGGCGCGATGTCATCATCATCACCTCGGCCACGTCGCCCCGGGGCACCAAGACCACCCGGCAGTACCTGAACTCGCCCCCGTCGCCCGCCCTGTGCGCGTCCCCGTCGCAGGTGCAGGTGCGGGCGGCGGCGTCGCCGGGGGGCAGCGGCAGGGACGAGGAGCGCGATGTGTTCCGCTTCCCACCCGCTCCCGAGCCGGGCCGGGCCGGGCCCAAGCGGCAGCTGAAGAGGCTGAACTCGGAGCCGTGGGGGCTGGCGGTGCAGGGGATGCGGGGGGGACACGCGGAGGGGACACAGGGACCCCCGGAGGGAGCACGGAGAGCCTTAGACGAGATACTGGGAGCCCCGGAGGGGACACGGAGACCCTCGGAGGGGACGCGGGGACCCTCAGAAGGGGCGTGGGGGTCGCTGGAAGGGACATCAGCCCCTCCGGGGGGGCTGGCGGCGGGGCTGGAGGGGCTGCGGCTGCGCCCTCGGCGGCACAGCGTGGAGGGACGCGAGCTCTCGGGGCTGCCGGGAGCCACCTGGGCAGAACGCGTGCCCCCGGCGCGTTTGGCTCCCGATCCCCCGCGGGGCAAAGCCCTCCGCCGGGATGCTCCCAGCCCCGAGCTCGCCGCCCCTCCCGGGCCGCTCCGGCACCCGGGCGGGCTGCTGGAGCGCCGCGGCTCCGGGACGCTGCCGCCGGAGCCGCCGGGGCCGGGCCGGGCCGGGCTGCTGCCGCCGCTGCCGCCCCGAGCGCTGCTCCGCCGCCACTCCATGCAGCCCGAGGCGCTGCGGCACCTCGGGGGCTTCTGCGGGGGGCCTGGCTCTTAGGGACCCCTCCCCAGCGTTAGAGACCCCCCCCAAGGCTGGGATCCTCTTGGGAAAGGCTCGCCCTGGGTGGGGGTTTGCTCTGAACCCTGCTGGGGGTCAACTCTTCCATCCTGGGGGTCAACTCTTCCATCCCTCTGTCGGCACAAACTCTGCACGAGCCCGGATTTGGGGGCTCCCAGGCCCCCCCAGTATCCCCCTCCTGCTCCTGCCTCATCCTCCCAGCAGCTTTTTCCCCCAGGTCTGGCATTAAAAGCCCCAGGGTAGATCAGTGGGTGGTGGGCACGTCTGTGGGCTTGGGGGCACAGCTGTTGCATCCCAATGCCAGTTTTAAGAGGAAAAAAAAATATTTTTCAAGACCTGAATTGTTGTAATGCCAGGCTGAGAGGGAGCCCCAGGATCCTTGGGTATGCAGAGGGATTTTTGGGAAAGGGGCTTGGGAGCTTTAATGAGGGACAAAGAACAAGAAAGACAAACTTAGACAAAATCTCGTTATTTGACACAAAACAAGGAATGCCCAGCGGGGTAAATACCGTGGGAGATTTAGAGACCATCTGCCTGGGGCATGGAAGAAACTCCCAGAATATTCTGGGATGGGAGGCTGGGAGGGATCCCCCCAAACCCAAGGGAAATCCCCCCAAGCCTCAGAAACTGCTGCTTCCCTCATACTCGTCCTTTGAAAACAATAAAATTCCGTAAAACCCACATTCCTCCAGGGATGGAGCTGGTCTGGCTCCTCCAGGCTGGGTGCAGAGCCCAGTTCTCCCAGTTTCCCCCCAGTTTGGAGGTGGTTTGGGTGAAGGTTTGGATCCATCACCGGCGGCGTCGGTCGGGACTGCGGCTGCGCCGGCGCCCGCCCCTGGAAAACAGGGAAAAGGTGGAAAAAAGAGGGAAAAAGGGGGGAAAAAGGGGGGGAAAAGGGGGGGAAAGGAGAAAAGGGGAGAAAAGTGGGGAAAAGGGGGGAAGGGATACAGGAAATGGGAGAAAGGAAAGGGAAAAGGGAAGGGAAAAAGGGTACAGGAAATGGGGGAAAGGAATGGGAAAACAGTACAGGAAATGAGGGAGAGAGGGAAAAGGGTACAGGAAATGGAGGAGAGAGGGAAGGGAGGCATTTTGGGGTGTTTATCCCCATTTTAACCCCACCACCCCCACAACTGCGCACGGAATTCCCCCATTCCCAATCCCACGAGTCCCACCCATTACCAATTCCTGGAATTGCCAGGATTTCCCAGGAATTTCTGGGAACTGCCTCACCTCCTCTTGCCCTTGGGGGGGCCCCTGACGAAGCACCAGTCCACGCTGACGGGCTGCCCCATGAGCTCCTGCCCGTTGAGCCCCTCCATGGCTGCCTGCGCCTCCTTGTACGTCTCGTACTCCACCAGCGTGTAGCCCTGGGGGGGGACGGGGTTGGGGGGACAGACACCAGGGGAGCTCAGCTTTGGGGGGCACAGAGCCCCAACACCCCGGGTTTAGGATTGGGGGTGAGCCCAGCTCAGCTTTGGGGGGCACAGAGCCCCAACACCCCGGGTTTAGGGTTGGGGGTGAGCCCAGCTCAGCTTTGGGGGGTACAGAGCCCCTGACACCCTGAGTTTAGGGTTGGGGATGAGCCCAGCTCAGCTTTGGGGTGCACAAACCCTCCAACACCCCAGGTTTAGGATTGGGAATGAGCCCGGGCACTGGGAGAATTCCCAGCTCAGATTTGGGGTGCACAGAGCCCCTGACACCCCGGGTTTAGGATTGGGGGTGAGCCCAGCTCAGCTTTGGGGGGCACAGAGACCCAACACCCCAGGTTTAGGATTGGGAATGAGCCCGGGCACTGGGAGAATTCCCAGCTCAGATTTGGGGTGCACAGAGCCCCTGCCACCCCGGGTTTAGTGATGGGAATGAGACAGACACCAGGCGAGCTCAGCTTTGGGGGGCACAGAGACCCAACACCCCAGGTTTAGGATTGGGAATGAGCCCAGCTCAGCTTTGGGGGGTACAGAGCCCCTGACACCCCAGGTTTAGGAATGGGGATGAGCCCGGACACCATGGGAACTCAAATTTGGGGTGCACAGGCCCCCTGACACCCCAAGTTCAGCCCTGGGAATGCCCCCAGGCATTGGGGGAATCCAGCTCCCAGCCCAACCCCCAGCTCAGTTTTGGGACCTCACAATAAATCAGATTTTGAGGTGCAGGTACTCCCATAACCCCAGAACTGGCTCAGTCTGGGGTGCACCCCAGCACCTCCCACCCTGGAGCATCCCCCAGGCTGAGCTGGAGCTCGGGGGGGTCCCCAAAAGTGCCCCCTCCCCACCTTCAGGTATCCTGTGCGCCGGTCCAGGTTCAGGTGGATGTTTTTGATCTCCCCAAATTCAGCAAACCTGTCGTGCACGTCCTCCTCTGTGGCCTCCTCGTGCACCCCTGTCACAAAGAGGATCCAGCCCTCCACGGCTGGGCAGGAAAAAGGGGGGTCACGAGCTGGGGATGCAGCTTTTCCCCCCAAAATCCTCGGGGAGGGGGGCATGGAGCCCCCCACGGGTGAGATTTGGGGTTCCATGTCCGTGTGGGATTGGGCAAAAGTGATGCTGGGAAGGTGAAGAAAAATCCCAGCGTGGCCCCAGTTCCTTCTCTTTGCTGTGGTGGGTCCCCAAAAAGGGTTTCTCACCCCAAAATCACTCCTTTTTCCCAGCTAGGAAGGGGAGGTGGTGGCCCAGAGCCCCCAAATCCTGGGTGAGGTTGGGGAAAGTTCATCCCAGCAGGGCTGAACCCAAATCCAGATCCCATTCCCATGGGGAAAGTGCTCCACGGGGCTCTCAGGGAGGAGCATCTCCCCCGAATTTCCCCATTCCCACCTTGGGAAGGGGATGTGGAGCTGGGGTTTGCCCTAAAATAAATCCTGGGAATGGGAAGGGATTGTCCCAGCCTAAATAAACCCTGGGAATGAGGGAATGGAAGGGATTGTCCCAGCCTAAAATAAACCCTAGGAATAATGAAAGAGATTATTCTAGCCTAAAGTAAACCCTGAGAATAAGGATTGCCCCAAACTAAACAAGTCCTGGAATGGGAATAGGGAAGGGAAAGGAACTGACCCAGCCTAAAATAAATCCTGGGAATGAGGGAAGAGATTATTCTAGCCTAAAGTAAACCCTGGGAATGGGAGAAGGGATTGTCCCAGTCCAAATAAATCCTGGAATGGGAGAAGGGATTGTCCAAGCCTAAATAAACCCTGGGAATGAGGGAAAGGATTGTCCCAGCCTAAGGAAATCCTGGGAATGAGGGAAGGGAAGGGACTATCCCAGCCTAAATAAACCCTTAGAACGAGGGAAGGGAAAGGATTGTCCCAGCCTAAAGAAATCCTGGAATGGGAATGGGAGTAGGGAAGGGATTGTCCCAGCCTAAGGAAACCCTGGGAATGAGAGAAGGGAAGGGATTGTCCCAGCCTAAATAAATCCTGGGAATGAGGGAAGGGATTGTGCTAGCCTGAAATAAATCCTGGGAATGAGGAAAGCAATTGTCCCAGCCTAAGGAAATGCAGAGAATGAGAGAAGGGATTGTCCCAGCCTAAATAAATCCTGGAATGGGAATGGGAGTAGGGAAGGGATTGTCCCAGCCTAAGGAAACCCTGGAAATGAGGGAAGGGATTGTCCCAAGCTAAATAAATCCTGGAATGGGAATTGGGAAAGCAAGGGATTGTCCCAGCAGGGCAGCAGAGCCCCCCAGGCCCTGCAGGTCCCCCCGTGTCCCCCTCACATCTCTGTGGCCCCGGCTCGTCCCCGTCCTGCTCCACGCTGTCGTAATCCTCGCGCACCCGCGCGCGGGACCCTTCCTCTGCAAACAGAAAAAAGGGGGAGAAATGGGACCCCCAAACTCCAGGGGTCACCCAGAGCGCCGGGGAAGGGGTCTGGGGGTCTCACCTGAGCCGAAGCCGCGGCCCTTCCTCTTCTTGGCCTTTTCTTTCAGCTTGTGGATGCTCTCTGGGGGAAACGGGGGTCACGGGGTCAGCAGGAGCAGGGAGCCCCCTCCCCAAAAGGGACAGGGACCCCTCGTGCTGGGAGGGGCTGGGAATGACCCCCTGGGATGGGAATGAGCACTGGCAATGAGCCCCCGGGGTGGGAATGAGCCCCCTGGGATGGGAATGAGCCCTGGGGTGGGAATGAGCCCTGGGAATGATGCTGGGATGGGAATAACCCCCCCAGACTGGGAATGATGTCCCCGGGGTGGGAATGATGTCCCGGGTCAGCAACCCCCCCACCCAGGCTGGGCAGAACCCCCCGGTCCAGGCAGAGCCTCCCCCGGCCAAGCCAGGCCGGTCTCCCCGCGATGGGAACGATCCCCCCGGGCCGCACGGCGCCCCCAGACCCTCCGGGCCGGGAACAGCCCCGTGAGCAGCGAACGGGCAGCAGGACCCATCTGCCACACCGGGAACGACCCCCCGAGGCAGGAGAGACCCCCCAGCACCGAGCAGAGCCCCCTGCCAACGACAGCACCCCCGCGCCAGGCCCGGGCCGCCCCTGAGGCCGGAGCGGCTCCGCGGAGCCCGGACCCGGCCGGATCGGGCGGCGGGGCCGCTCTGGGCCGGGCGGTACCGCCCCAGCCCCGCGCTCACCGTCCCCGTCCTCGTCCATGGCGAAATCCTCGCCGCCCGCCTCATGAAGATCCAGCACGTCCGCCATCTTGCCGAGAGTACCGGGGCACGCCGGGAGCGCGCCGGAAGTGGGAGGGCGCGAGGCGGAAGTACCGGAGAGGCCATATTGGGAAGGGCGTATGGCGGAAGTACCGGCGCGGCCATATTGGGAAGGGATTGTGGCAGAAAGTACCGGCGCGGCCATACTGGGAAGGGCCCTGGGCGGAAGTGCTCGTGTCGCCATTTTGAGAAGGTCGTGCTGGTTCTTTTTACACCGGGAATTTCAAATTTTGGAAATTTCGAACCCCGGGTTTTGAACCCCGGGAATTTTAAACCCTGGGTTTTGAACTGCAGGAATTTCAAATCTCGGAAATTTCAAACCCTGGGTTTCGAACCCCGGGAATTTTAAACCCTGGGAATTTTGGACCACACATCAACGCAACTCAAAGCATTTTTGGCACAACCAGCCCCCCCAAAAAATGACCAAGAGCACCAAAGTTAACCAAAAATCGCTGGGTTTATTGTATAAAATGCACAGCAGTGTTTATCCCATAATTCCACTGCCTCAACAAGGAGCACCACTTTCTCTGTACTGAGAAAATTTGAATTTTGTTAATTTTACGCCTTCCACGGAGATCCGGAGCCTCCAAATCGTCTCCTCGATCCCACAAACAATGGAATATCTGGTTTTTTCCCTTTTAATTTTTTTTCTTTCTTCCACAGTGATGAACTCCCAAAGTCCTCTCAGATTTATTTGGAACATAAAGAACTGGGAGGAGCTTCAGGGATTCCCTTAGGTGCAGAATAAATTGCAGGATTAAAATTCATTATTCCTACATCAAATTTTTCCAATCTTTCAGGAAAATTGCACCCCACAACCCCTACCCCATCCCTTTAAAATCCAATTTCCAGCGACATCAAATGTTAATAGTGTTTGTAGAAAGTATAAAAAATATATAAACCCCCAAAATAAGCTTGTTAGGATGTGGATATAAAAATGGGGTACCTACAAATAATGGAATTATTCCCATTTTATCCTAAAACAATGATTATTGCTGGAATATCCTGTGGTCAGGCAGAGGGAAGAAGGAGGGTGGGAAGAGTGGAATCTGCAGGGTTTAAAAAGGGATAAGAAGTGGGAAAAGCTCTAAGCGAGGGTGAAAAAGGAATTTTGGCTTGGAATTCAGTTTGTATTCCCAGTCTGCTGGGAAAAAGGGGAGTAAGATGGAAATTTCCATGGATAAATTGACATTTTCTTGGGTGAACTCGGAGCTGTTTGAACAATTCCATGCCATAAAAGGGGTTTTAAAGCTAAATATAGTCTAAATTCCATATGGATACAAGGGATAAGGAATGATTAGTGCAAATCCCTCCCTCATCCACAAACTCTCCAAGACTTTTCCAACCTTCCAGTGCTGGTATTTGGCTGCAGACAGGGCAATTCCAGGGGGGAACTGCAAATCCTGCTGTGCTTGGGACTGGAATGCTGCAGGTTGATCCCAGATTTAATTCCAGAATTAAATCTGGATATTGCACATGCTGGCATCCACTCATTTAATTAAGGAGCTCGTCAAGGAGCTCTAATTGATCCTTTTCTGCTACAGGAGGGAGGGGATCCAATGGGTTTTTCCAGAGGAAACACTGGATTCCATAGAATCCCAACTGCTCCAGCAATGATGGAGTGAGGACAAAACCTGGGATTTGAACCCCGAAAATAAGGGAGAGGAAAACATCTGTAGGGATTATGAGGGAATAAAAAGTTCCCAGGGGAATAAGGAGTTCTCAAGAGAGGAAAAAGGAATGAGGAGCAGCTCTAAAAACCAGGATGAAACTGCTAGAATCCATTCAGGAGCTTTTTCCCTAAATTTCTTCTAAATGTGCAAATGGGCTGGGATTTGGGGAGGGGTTTTGGGATCACCAGGGGTGGGATTTTGGGGTTCAGCAACCAGAGGAGTGTGCTGAGCCCAGCTGGCCAGCTGCCAGCAGCAGGATGTCCTTCTTCTCCTTGTGGAACCTCAGCTCCTTGCCGGCCAGCCGGGCCTCGTCCAGCTCGCGCTCGGTGGCCGCCAGCTCCCGGGAAAGGGCTCCTGGAATGTTCTGCTCCCGGTTCACCCAGTCCAGGGCCATCTGGTTTCGGATGTCATCGTCCAGAGCACGGTGGGAGTAGTGAGCCAGGACCTCCTGGTGGGAATGGGAGGCAGAGAGTTGTTAAAATTGGGGAAAAAAACCTTATGGGATGCAATAGAATCATTAAAATTGGGAAAAAACCTGAAGGGAATGATGGTTTGTGAAGGCTGAGCTAGGACAGAGTTAATTAATAAAGCAGGGATTGCAATAGAATCATTAGATGCAATGGAATCGTTAAAATTGGGAAAAAACCTGAAGAGAATGATGGTCTGTGAAGGCTGAGCTAGGACAGGGGCTGGGCAGAGTTAATTAATAAAGTAGGGATTTATTAAGAGGATATTCTCAATGGATGCACCTTGGGCAGTGCAAGAGCCCAGGCAGGGCTACACCAAAGATGAACTAAAATGGTCACAAAATCAACCCCAAATGGTCACAGAATAAACCCAAAATGAACCAAAATGGACACCTGGTCACAGAGTCTCTCACTTTTATAAGTTCTGGTCCATTTGCATACCAGAGTTAATTATCCAATTACAGCTCCACCCCATAAAATCCCATTTTTCTTGTTTTCTCTCTTCAGTCCACATTGTTTATGCTGAGATTTGGGTCATTTGTCCTGCACAAGGCATCAGGGGAAGCTCAGGAATAGGAAGGAGCAGCGGGATGGAGCTGGCACTCACCTGGCGTGAGCACTGCCGCTCCCTCATGGCCTTCAGGCTCCCATTCCAGTGCAGCAGCTGGAAAACTGTCATCAGCTCCTGGGATGGCAAGAGAGAGGGTTTAAAACACAAAAAAACCATTTCTGCGTGTGCTGGGAGTGCTCAGAGCTAGGTGACTTCCACGTCTGTGTTTTGGAAGGTTGGTACCATAAAATATCCTTTATTGCATGGAAATAAACTCTCATAAATGGGGGTGGCACACACAGCAGCAGGCTGATAGAATATAGTGATTTAGGCACCTCATTAAGGAATTCACCCAGTCTTTGGAGGAAACATCCCATCTTGCTCCTCTGTTTTCAGGGATGAATCTCACTAATTAACTGCACTTCTGCAATTAGGACATTTGGAAGTATCACAGTGACAGTGAGAAACCCAATTCCAAAGGTAATACTGGAATTACCCCAAATCTGATCTGAATCAAAGGGAAACCCCAAGTTTATTCCCCATGGAAAAAACTAAAATTACACCTGGGAGACCAACCCAAACATCCCTTAACCAAACCAGGAGTGGGACCTGGGTAGAAGAGGAACAGGATCTGCACAAACTGGACACAGCACCTGGAATTCCAGCATGGATTTCCCCTTGTTGGACTCCAGCATGAAGCGGAAGGCCCCGATCCCAGTGTTGGGATTATCTGCTTCTTCTCGGTTGCCCTGCAGAGAAATTCCACACATGGAACTGCCATTCTCATTCCTGGGAATTCCCAATCCTGGAATTCCCAGTGGGATTCAGGAGAGCCTAATGCCAGCACAAGCTGAGCTGTCACATGTGAATTTGACAGCCTGATCACAGAGAGAGAAGCTAAAAAATTTTCCTAGAATTGACCTGGGAAGCTTTAGGGAGATAAACAGTGATAGCCAAATATTAAAAACAATCTACAGTTGATGGTTTTCAACAATCTGTTTAGAAATTAGCAATAATTAGCTTCTGATTGTCACAGTGTGAATTATAACATTTATCTGTATTGTCTCACCCTACACACGAGACTGAAAACGGAATGAAATTTTTTAAAACGCCTCGAAATTCCCCCATCTCGGGCTCAGAAAATGGCTTGATCTGACCCCAAAAAAAGCTCAGACAAGACAGCCGTGCTCACGTTGAAGGACGCCAGGGCCTCAGAGACACTCTTCTCGATGAAGTCGTCGGTGATGCGGCGGGAGGGGTGCTCGTTGAACACGGAGTTCATCAGCGCGATCTTGGCCGCGCTCCGGCGCGCCTCGGCCTTGGTGGGACAGAACTGGGGACACACGGCTGTTGAGAGCTTTGTAACAAGCTGGCCCCGAGCTAAAGGTCACAGTGAGGTTAATTGAACCGAGATAGAGAATGAGGGGAGTTGCCATTCCAATTAAACTGTGTGTCCTTGGCCCACGGGTGAAGTAATGCACAAAACCAGGTGGTAAAGCCAAACAGCTTGGGAAAGTAGTGATAGCTGCACCAAAACAGCACGTGGACAGCTGATAACTAATTAGCCAATGGTGAGCTGGGGTTTTGTACTATGCATGAGCTAATTAAAGGGTGTATAATAATTGGTGATTCGGGAATAAAGACGAGACTTGTAGATCATCATCTGGTGAACGAGTCTTCCTTCTCCGTCACACGGCCACACTGGGGACACCCCCAGCACCTCCACGCCCCCCGCCCCGAGCACCAGGAATGGGGGCTGAGGGGGGGAATTGGGAAATGACACCCCCGGAATCAGAACTGCCCGTTGTGTTGGTGATTAATTTGATTTAATTTATTTTTTCAGACCCAGAGTGTTCCCAAATTCCCCCCAGGGACCAGGATTGGGGATAGAACCAAAACAGGTTCAGAACTGCCTGTTGCATAGTCAATTAATTAATTTAATTAATTTTTTCAGACACAAACTGTTCCCAAATTCCCTCCTGAGACCAGGATTTTGGGACAGAACCAAAAGAGGTTCAGAACCTCCCACTGCATTCTCAATTAATTAATTAAATTTAATTTAATCTTGGGAAGGAAGAGGAAGGATCTAATCCTGGGAAGGATGAAATCCTGGGAAGGAAAAGGAAGGATCACATGCTGGGAAGAAGGAGGAAAAGGAAGGATCATGTCCTGGGAAGGAGAAGGAAAAGGAAGGATCAAATCCTGGGAAGGAGAAGGAAGATCTAATCCTGGGAAGGATGAAGGAGAAGGAAAAGGAAGGATCTAATCCTGGGAAGCAGAAGGAAGGATCACATCCTGGGAAGGAGAAGGAAGATCAGATCCAGCCAATCCAACAGTTTTCCCTGACATCCCACCTCCTACTTCAGCACTAAGTTGTGGGTGACCAGAACAGGCAATAAAGGACACCAAAACCCCACAACCCACAGACAAACCTTCCCAGATCGGGACCTGATGGTGATTTTCACACCAGCAGCAACTTCCAATTAACCTCCTTACAACCGAAGAGGTTTAGAGCCAGATTTAGGGAGGAGAACGCCCAGCAGGGAGGAGATATTTGGGAAGGGATCCCGGCGGGGTCTGGGAGAGGCATTCCCGGGGTGGGGATTGTACCTGGAAGCTGCCGAAGCAGCTGCCCCCGGGCAGGGTGACATAGCAGACGTAGGGGGGGCTGGCAGCTGGCACCATCTCGTAGAGAACCAGGGCGCCGTTGCGCAGCTCGGCCCCGCGGGACTGCTTCATCTGCCAGAACTCCTGCAGCGCCTCCACCACGTTCACTGCCGGGGGACCGCGGGGAGATGGAAAAAGGGGCATGGGAAGATGGAAAAAGGGGTGAGGAGGGAAGGAAGGAAGGAGGGAAGGAAGGAAATGGGGCATAGAAATAAGGAAAAGGGGCACGGGAAGATGGAAACGGGGCGTGGAAAGATGGAAACGGGGCATGGGAAGAAGGAAAATAAGGGGGGAAGGAAGGAAGGAAGGAAGGAAGGAAGGAAGGAAGGAAGGAAGGAAGGAAATGGGGCATGGAAAGATGGAAACGGGGCACGGGAACATGGAAACGGGGCGTGGAAAGATGGAAAAGGGGCGTGGGAAGAAGGAATTGTGGCGTGGAGAGATGGAAAAAGGGGTGAGGAAGGAAGGAAGGGAATGAGGCACAGAAAGAAGGAAAAGGAGAAGGGGATGAGGAAGGAAGGAGGGAAATGGGGCACGGAAAGAAGGAAAAGGGGCACGGAAAGAAGGGAAAGGGACACGGAAAGAAGGAAAAGGGACACGGAAAGAAGGAAGAGTGAAAAAAGGGAATAAGCGAAAATCGACCCCCCCAGCCCCGGCTCCCCCCGGCCCTGCTCACCGCGGCCGTAGCCCTGCGTGTGCTTGGCGAAGCTCCGCACCACGGCCTCCACCGCCTCCCGCAGCACCGCGGGCGGCCCGGCCCCGGCCCCGGCCGCCGTCCCGGGGGGCGCGGGGGGGCCCTGCACGGTGAGGCCGGGCCGAGCCCCGCGGGGCCCGGTGCCCACCCCGGGCTGCAGCCGCTGCGCCCGCACCGCCTCCATCGCCGCGCTCCCTCCTCAGCGCCGCGCTGTCAATCAGCGCCGCTCCGCGCGCGGCAGGCCAATAGGAGCGCCGGATCGGGGAGGGGGAGGCGGGGAAAGCAGCGGGAGGCCAATCAGAGCGCGGTGCGCGGCTCGAGGGGCGGGGTCAGGGCGCGGCGCACTCACCCACTAACACAAATAGCGGTGTGTGGTCTAGGGGCGGCGAGGGGGCGGGACTTGGGAGTTGTTATCCAATCACATTTCGGAAATTTTAGATTGACAGGAGAACAAACGAATCAAAACGCAGGACGCACAAACCAGCAGAGATGACGGTACGGCGTGACAGCCTCCTCTCATTGATCAGGAGCAGCAATTAACGGCGAGAGGAACCAATCAAACCCTTCGGCACAGATTTCGAGGCGGAGATTACGCCCGCTGCCCATTCACGGGCTCTGTTTTGGTCGCGGCGGGTCAGCCAATGGGAAGGAGTCGCGGCGGTAGCGGAAGTGACGCGGGCGTACCGGGCTCGGTACCGGGCCCGCGCCATGGAGGCCTGGGTGCGCTTCAGCGCCCAGAGCCAGGCCCGGGAGCGCCTGCTCAGGTGCAGCCTGGGCTCCGCGGGGAGGGAAACCAGGGCAGGGGCATCCCGGTGTTCCGCAATCCCGGTGGGCGGAGGAGACCGCGCAGAACGGGCGGGCCCGGAGCACCGGGGCGATGGCCCCGGTTCTTCCCCCCCGCCGTGACTCGCTCATTGTCCTCAGGGCCGCTCAGTACGCCTGTGTGCTGGCCGGGGCCGCGCTGAGCCGCGCCGGGGGCGGCTCCGGGAGCCTGAGCCGCCTGCAGCAGCTGGAGGCTCACCTGAGCCTGGGCCGCAAGCGTGAGTGGGCTGGGGGGGGATTGAGGGGGGATTGAGGGGGGGTTTGGGGTCTCACACCCCCCTGGTGTCCCCCTCCTGCAGTGCTGGGTCTGGGGGGCTCGGCTGAGGTGCTGGGAGGGGGGTTTGAGGGGGGATTTGGGGGTCTCACACCCCCCTGGTGTCCCCCTCCTGCAGTGCTGGGTCTGGGGGGCTCGGCTGAGGTGCTGTGAGGGGGGTTTGAGGGGGGATTTGGGGGTCTGCACATCCTATGGTGACCCTCTTCTGCAGTGCTGCATTTTGGGGGGGCTCAGGGCAGTTTTGAGGGGGGATTTGGGGGTCTCACATCCCCCTCCCCACAGTGCTGCATTTGGGGGGACTCAGGGCTGTTTTTCGGGGGAATTTTGGGCTCACACCCCCTGGTCTCCCCCCTCCTGCAGTGCTGCATTTTGGGGGGATCAGGGTGGTGTTTAGGGGGGATTTTGGGGTCTCTCACCCCCCTGGTGTCCCCCTCCTGCAGTGCTGAGTTTGGGGGGCTCTGGGAGGGCTCAGGGCAGTTTTTCGGGGGATTTTGGGTTCTCTCACCCCCCTGCTGTCCCCCCCCTCACAGTGCTGCGTTTGGGGGGCTCGGCCGAGGCCCTGGGGGGGGCCCAGCGCTCGCTGCACCTGCCCGACCCCGTGCTGCGCTTCTGCCTCACCCTGTCCCACCTGAACCGGGCTCTGTTCCTGGCCTGCGACAACGTCCTGTGGGCCGGGAAGAGCGGGATCCTGCCCGGGCTCGCCCTGGAGAAGTGGAGCCAGAGGGCCTTCAGGTGAGGGGCTGGAAGAGGATCCTGGGGGTGGGGAAGGATCCTGGGGGCTGGGAGAGAATCCTGGGCTTGGGAGAGGATCCTCAGTTTGGGACAGAATCCTGGGGCTGGGAGAGAATCCTCAGCTTGGGAGAGAATCCTCAGTTTGGGACAGAATCCTGGGGCTGGGAGAGAATCCTGAGGGTGGGAAAGGATCCTGGGGCTGGGAGGGAATCCTGGGGTTGAGAGAGAATCCTGGGGCTGGAAGAGAATCCTGGGGTTGGGAGAGAATCCTGGGGGTGGGAGAGAATCCTGGGGTTGGGAGAGAATCCTCGGGGTGGGAAAGAATCCTGGGGCTGGGAGAGAATCCTGAGGGTGGGAAAGGATCCTGGGGCTGGGAGAGAATCCTGGGGTTGGGAGAGAATCCTGGGGTTGGGAGAGAATCCTGGGGGTGGGAGAGAATCCTCGGGGTGGGAAAGAATCCTCAGTTTGGGAGAGAATCCTGGGGCTGGGAGAGAATCCTGGGGCTGGGAGAGAATCCTGGGGCTGGGAGAGAATCCTGGGGCTGGGAGAGAATCCTGGGGCTGGGAGAGAATCCTGGGGCTGGGAGAGAATCCTGGGGCTGGGAGAGAATCCTGGGGTTGGGAGAGAATCCTGGGGTTGGGAGAGAATCCTGGGCCTGGGAGAGAATCCTGAGTTTGGGAAAGAATCCTCAGTTTGGGACAGAATCCTGGGGCTGGGAGAGAATCCTGAGGGTGGGAAAGGATCCTGGGGCTGGGAGGGAATCCTGGGGTTGGGAGGGAATCCTGGGGCTGGGAGAGAATCCTGGGGCTGGGAGAGAATCCTGGGGCTGGGAGAGAATCCTGGGGCTGGGACAGAATCCTGGGGCTGGGACAGAATCCTGAGGTGTGGGTGGGGTGGGCAGGGAATGGAATTACTCTGGGGAAAATAAGGAATGGGACTCCCAAGGGAGAGCAGGGAGTGGGGATTCTTGAGGAGGAGGAGGGAATGGGGTTCCCCTGGGGAAAATAAAGAATGGAATTCCCAAGGAAGGATGGGGAGTGGAATTCCCAAGGGAGAGCAGGGAATGGAATTACCCTGGGGACAATAAGGAATGGAATTCCCCAGAGAGAGCAGGGAATGGGGTTCCCCTGGGGAAAAGAAAGAATAGAATTCCCAAGGGGGAACAGGGAATGGGGTTACCCTAGGGAGAATGAGGAATGGAATCCTGTGGGAGATCTGAACATGCCTTTCCCACTCCCCCCAACTCCCATTATTTATTTCCCCCAACTCCCATTATTTATTTCCCCCCAATTCCCATTATTATTTCCCCCAACTCCCATTTGCCCCAATTCCCATTTTCCCCACAACTCCCATTATTTCCCCCAACTCCCATTTCCCCCCAAATCCCATTCCCCCAATTAATTCCCATTTCCCCAACTCCCATTCCCCCAATTCCCATTATTATCCCCCCCAATTCCCATTATTACCCCCCCATTTCCCCCCCCGCGGCCCCCCCAGGTATTACCTGTTTGCCCTGCTGGTGAACCTCAGCCGGGACGCCTACGAGCTATCCCCATTTTCCCCCCAGGTATTACCTGTTTGCCCTGCTGGTGAACCTCAGCCGGGACGCCTACGAGCTGCGGCTGCTGCTGGAGCGCGCCGGGGCCGCCAGGAAGCGTGGCAGGAGCCCCGAGAAACCCCCCCAGGCTGAGGGCAGCGCCCGCCTGCGGCTGCAGCTGCAGCTGCAACTCCTGCTGCAGGTGCTGCGCGACAACCCGCCGCTGCTGCTGGACCTGCTGCGCAACGCCTGCGACCTGCTGATCCCCCTGGAGAGGCTGGGGCTGTGCCGCAGCAGCCCCGCGGTCGTGGGCTTCTGTGGGCTCGCCTCCTCCCTGCTCTCCATCCTCACCATCCTCCCCCCCTGGCTCAAGCTCAAGCCGTAGTTTTTGGGGGATCTTGGGGGATTTTGGGGGGTTGTGGCGCCTCTGGAAGGGACTGACTTGTGCCATTCCTGACTTCTTGGAGCTACAAAGTTCCAGCATTGGATCCCTCATGGACATCAGCTCCCCAAAATGTGGTTTTTCTCATTGACTCTTCCTGAAATTTTAGGGAAAAAAATAGGGATTGAACATTCCCACTTTCTGTCTGGGAAGAGCCTTTCACCTGGAGCCGGCTAACAGGGAAGATTTGGGGCTGGAAAATGTGGGGCTCTGTGGGCTCGCCTCCTCCCTGCTCTC